GCCTAACTCATGATTCACATAGAGACAACATTACACAGCAATCTAAGGTTAGCCAGCTAGCTGTAACGTAGCTGCACAGCACGTATCTGAGCTGCATCGCGTCCAGGTCAGCTGGACGTATTTGCAAATGCACATTGTTGCAGTGGCCTGCAGTTTGCATGGGAGACGCCAGCTTGTCTGAAAACACTTGCCAAGTACAGTCTGAGAGGTGGACCTCCTTCGGGGTATGAAAACATCAAGTCTGCATTGAGAACATTAGTAAGTTTGAGAGTAAGTGTGGTGTGTGTATGGGTGGAGCTGCAGTTTGACAGCGTCACTGATTTGGTTTCAGGTTCAGATGCACTCATGTTTCTCCTCTTTGGAGTCAAAGGTCGAGAGCGTCTGTTTACTGAGGTTACTGCAAGGTTAACATGAACCTATAGTATGAAAAGTCCTCTTGAAGGGGGCGGAGCTAAAACAGCTTGACCTATAGGCTGAGCAGAAGCCCAGTATCAGATAAAGAAGGATTATTTCAAACCGTGAATCATGCAGAGCTGCTGAGAATCCAGGACTATAAATGTAGAAATGAGCAGAAAGGGTCCACGTGAATTATTTTGTATGAACCGAGACACCGGAGACAGCAGTTACGGGTACCTCACCAAACAGGAAACGCATTTTTCTTCCTCTTTGAACCATCTTTGAGTCTGTTTCTGCTTCTTGACCTCTCATCAAACATGTCGCAGGGCTTCTAACGCCTCCACCTACCCCGCAGGCCGACCCGCCTGCATCGCGGCCATCTCCCTAAGAGTTTCCTCTGAGTACAGGCCGATGGGGGAGTTATACTGCCTCCTCTGAGCGGGGCTGACCGCCGCCGCACGCCCCCCGGGAGAGTCTGCCTCTGCAGGCCCGGAGGAGGCACTGCGGCCGTTTACCTGCACCGATGGAGGCGTCAGGAAGGGGAGGAGACAGGAAGGAGAGGGAGCAGAGCACACGCTTAAAAGACGCTATTTTTTTAAAATCAAGGTGCTGTTATTCTAACCATGGGATCCTTTCAGTATAAAAGCCTGAAAGCATAAAGTGACTGAGAAAATCATCAACGAGATAAAATAAATAATTATTGTGAAAATAAATAAACTGATCAAATACATTATCTTCAATTTAAGTTAATCTGTTGGATCAATTATCATCACTGCTGGAAATGTCTTAACTTAAACAGGAAATGAAATTCATCATAACTGCTCCTGTTTCTGTTTTCCTGCATTTTTGTTTTTGCACAAAACATTTTTGAGGTGCTGAGTTTGGCCTTTCTTGCATTTTTTCCTGCAGCCACCAGGGGGCAGCAGCTGTA